GTGAACGAGTTTGTGGCTTATCGACATCTGGGAGAGATGATTTCGGACGATTCGCTACACATCACGGTGAGCACCAGTATTTGAGGGCAGATTCCCCACTAGTCCCATGGGCGGGGTTAGGAACTCATTGTGCCTCTATCACTCCAAGGACATTCCTCTTAGAAGTCTCAGAAAGGAGAGGTGCATCAATTAGGGCGCACTAATGAATGGACAATGACAGACCCAGCTCCGCCTCCTGACGACCACGGAATGTGCCTTTAAGAACCAGCTCATTGGAAGTAGTACGCAAAGGAGGTCCTATGGGGACTTACAGTTTTGACATGAGTGGATTTTTCAGCCTCGGTCAACTATGATTGCCACATATGCTCTCTGCAGTTTCTCCAATCTGGGCACTATTGGCATAGCAATGGGAGTTCTAGGTAGGTGTTTCCAAACGCATTGAGACTCGCTTTGGAAATAAACTTTTTAGGAGGTATGGCACCATCAAAGAGGCATGTATTAGCGAGGTTGGCCTTCCGTGCACTAGTCTGTGGATGCGTGTGCACTCTTTATACAGCTGCTCTAGCAGGTATTGAGCTTCAAACACCGCTAAATCGAAAAACCAGAACAGGTATCATGTGGCATGACATAAAAGGATAGAAGGCAAAGTTCCGATTAATGTGCACCTCCGGTAGAGTCACGCATCCGACATCTGTGATCCTTAAAAAGGTCAATACCTGCTCGATGGAATTAGAACTCTCTGAAGTAGCCGAACATTCAAGGCAAGGTAAGCGGTAGCGAGCTGAGGGAAATGCCATTCAAATGTAAGCTACAAGACGATGAAGGGGACGTCTGTGACGAAAACCGCGGGTGATAACAACAGACAACCCATGAAATAGGACCCCTCCCGGGTCCCGGAAACTGCACGAGTTTTCGGTTGCACTGTCGATATGCCCTGCAACATGCTGACAGAGATCATGACAATGAGGGATCTCCATCTTTCTCTGTTGGCGAACTTTATTACCTACAGACGCTTGCTGAAGTCATTCGGCTTTGCCGGGTTTTGACGCGCCCCCAGCTCGTTTTAACGCTGTAGGTTCTGGTGTTCAATGAGAGATGAGGAAATGGTTGACGCTGCGCCAAGATTCACGCCCCATCTAACCTTAATGCTACGACTGTACGTAACGGGATATGCCCTCAATACCTGCGTGAATTTCGCCCCACAGAGCACCTCTGTTTCGAGAAGAGTCTTGAAAAATAGTCTGCATTGAAGAAGGTGATGAGTGGCAACGAATTTTGCCAGTTAGAAAGAGAATATGTACGCGACTTTATTAATTGTAATGGACTCATGCTGTTTTCCTAGGAGTACTTGTGAGCGAGCCGCTCCTTTGTAGACCTTCAGCAGCCACTGTGGCATGTTTCGATGTATCAAGAGCTGCCAATTCCTCCTCTTCGTCGGAATGGTAGTGCTTACGGTTGGCAGAATAAGATCCATCTCAAGGAGAGTATGCTTTCTTCTGAGTTACCTCACTTATAATCCACTTGGTAAAGTGGTCGTATTGCTGACAAATCATAAATAATATTTTTAAGGCGACGCGATCACAAGTCTGTATGGAAAAAATGAAGTAAAATACGAGTGTCGTTATGCTAGGTAGCTTAATCTGGCAAAAAAAGAAAAAAATTATTTTGAAGTGCTCTAGAGAAGGTTTCTTTCCTATCCAAGCTTGTGCGAACATACCACAACAACGGATTCTAGTCGTTGTGTAGAATGGTCAAAAACTCAAGATCAGTCGGATAATTTCGGAGGGATAGTGCTTCGCTAGACTCATTCGTGGAACTTGCCTTCAAATGAGCAAGTTTGCCCTACACATGTATATGTTTAACTTATACGATGAGTTGACAAGATCGGCTGATGCAGGCAGCGTTCATACTTCGCGACAGCAGCGGCGATCGCGGCGACCTCGGCGATCGCCGCGATCGTCGGTACATGGCAGAGCGCGCCCCAACGCTATTACTTGGACCGCTCCGAAGGCTTTTGGGGAGAAGCGACTCAATTTCATGCTTTTTTCCTTTAACTGCAATTTTCTTAGGTACTGAAGCTTGGTTTGACACAAAGAAAGGTGAACCCAACTTAATGGCTTTTGTTTTCTATTTTCTTTCTTGATTCAGGATAGAAATGAGCAAAAAGCGTGAGAGCTTCATTTAGGGTAGGTTTTTATTGTTTCTTTTTTCATTCGTCGAGCTTATACATGAAGTTAAAAGTTTTCACCTGTTGATGTAAAATGATTAGTGTTTGGTTCCTAGGTGAGTTTCTTTCTGTTTCTTTTTTTTCTTCGTTGTTTGAACTCGACTTGTAAACTATAAATGTTTTGGAAGTTGGAACAGTTCAGACGATAGGAACTTTTGAGGCGCTTGTATAAATTGAAACAATAAAAACAAAAGAAAAAAAGAAGCTCACCCAGGAAATGGAGTTGGCCTTATCCCGACCTAAAAAGAAGTGAAACCTCCTTACCTCATATTCCAGATCCGCTTATGTATAGAAAGTATCAGTTAGTAGCCATTATTAAGAGAAAAGAAGGTCTCACAAGTTGGATTCCCTTATTTATCAAGCGAGCGGTCCATAATAGCGTTGGGGCGCGCTCTGCCACGTACCGACGCGGCGATCGCCGAGGTCGCCGCGATCGCCGCTGCTGTCGCGAAGTATGAACGCTGCTCAAGTCACTCTTCTGTGCGCGCATAACGGAAGTGTCTGGCAGAATGAAAAAGGCTAGGATGGTAGAGCCCTGTCAAGCGGATCGTAAGGGACGTATGTGACCAGTCGCTAGGGAGAAGGGGGTCGTATGCACAGGTGTCAATAATGAACGGAGTAGTGGCGACATTAGATCGACACTGTCCTCGCTTTTGTGTTCCTTCCTGGAACGCGGTACGTCCGCTAATTGTAAATGCACGACAAATTGATTCGGTGTAAATGAAACTACAACATAGCAACAACTCAGTTCTTTCCCAATACGGAGGAACTGAAGCTAGTCCAGAATTGGGTCCACGCCCCGGGCCATTTTTCGCGACATAACGCTTCACCCTCTGGGTGGTTTGGTTTGATCGGGAAATAAACAGCCCAGATCATGGCCCTGGTAATGAGGAATTATTAATGGAAGTAGACTTCGTGTGGCGAGTATCGAAGACGGATCAATTCCCATAATTTTATCCTTCACGTTCTTACTGTGAAAGGAAGGGCCAATCAGATGGCTATGGATTATGGAACTCTGCTGTTTGTTCCATAAAATTTGAAGGTACAAAGTGGGAAAAATAAACGCCTTTCAGTGGAACTTTTTACTAGGAATCACTGTGGATGTATGTATTGTATTTTTTGCAACAATGTTGTAGTGCTCGTGTTGTAATTTTTGTTCAGTAACACAGTTCATCGCTGTGTAGAATAAACCCTTGAACTCTTGCAGTGTCCGCGGTTCAAAGGAAAAGAACTAAAGGCAGAAAGATTGAGATGAACGGAACATTCTCCCCCTTTTCAGGTGCGTTATTGGAACGAGATGTAGAACCGATGTATCACAGCTACTTACTTATGGACCGTACCACAAATTGCGGGAGATCTTTCAAGGAACACTTGCAGAGTAGGCTCAACGACAACGACGCTCAGAGATCTACGAGGGAAGAAAGGGGAGGGAGAGCAGGAAATAAGACATTTGGCTCATGAGCACACTATAAAAGCATGATATATTCGATTTGGGCCCTTACTTCGGACACCCTTTTCAATCCTGGCATTTTCAGCATCTGTCAAACTGGTGAACCCTGAATTTCAGAGCACTTGACCATCGAAAGATTGGCTTATGAGAAGCAAATCGAACGCTATAGCCTCGTTCTCCAACACTGGACGGCTACTGTCTTCCTTCACCAGACTTCGTGAGCCTGAACAAAAGTGATTATAACCATGAACTTGCTTATGTGCACAAGCGTGAGCTGTGGGAACTATAGGCCTTCGTCGGCGTTTATGGTTGATTTCATCTTCTTGCGGCAGTGGTTTCAGTAGTGGAGAGCCCGATCCTATTTACAGAGGAAGATTTCAGAGAATTTTTCGGGGTCTCCCACATATCCTAAGCCTTTGGACGACGTATACTTGGACATTTCTCGTCACGGCAAAATGCCCCTTCCTTCACCTGAAGCAATAATATCTCATGAAACTTCTGAAATACCGAAAACCCTTTACGACGCCTGTGGTCACCAGTGAAGGCCAGCATTTGCTCTTCACAGTCCCGCTGACCTTTTTCACAGCATGAGCTTCTTCCATTCCTCCATTGCCAGAGACTTGTGTTTTTCCGGTCAAGTTCCACCCTTTAACTGCGCTCGTTAACTACAATGAAATCACCGACCTGCCGCTTTCCCATTTTTACGACCGACATTAAACAAAAGTTCAATCGACGAAGAGAGCCTTGCCCTTTTTTTATTCCAAAGCCAAGCGTTGATGGTTCCAGAATGACCAATCATCCTATCGTTTCACCACAATGAGTTATGAGCCAGTCAAGCCTGGCATCCGCCCGCAAGTCTGCTACGAATCATACTGAACACATTTGGCAGAGCACTAAGTGAGGGACAGCCAAGCAAGCAGGCTTGTGTAGAGGGCACAGCACCACCGCACACTATACGGTCACGAGCCTTAGCGACCAAGCCTAGCCAGGAATAGCGAATTTATAGACCTGAAAGATAACGGCATACTGTATTCTCGCGATACGTCGCGAGAATACAGTATGCCGTTATGTCTCAGGTCCATAAACTTACTTTAATCAGGAATCAGGCTTCGACATTGACCAAAGCGAATAGTGAAGTTCTGGGCAACTAGGTGTATCCCATCAATGTATGAAGTTCTTCGTGATCTCTATAGCAGCTTCTCGTCTGAGATTCTACCATTCTGCAAGGAGACCATTATCGACGTAAAGAGATTCGTACGATAGGGCGACATCAGCTCGCTCAAACTCTTTGGCACAACTCTTAAGAACGTCGAATGTCAACTGAAATGGGAAGGCATGGGAGTGAAGGTCGACTGCCGGCCGGCAACCACACTCCGCTTAGCTAACCACGTCCTGCTAATAATACCAAACATCAGACTATCAAAAGCCAAAGCTCGCGACCACAGGTTGCGGGTAACAAGGCTCAAGTATAAACGACAAGGTTCTTGGTGACTGACTATTAACTGCTCGACTGTATGTGCACGCTGTGCACGCCAAAGGCGCTGATGTCCATGCAATGAAGAAAACGCATGTTTGTACGAATTTCCACTCGTCGTTATCATAAAGATATCAGCTCTTTTATCTTATCACCTCAATCTCACCATTCGAAATGGAGAGAGAGACAGACGGTGGGGTTCGGTATGGGCCTAAAGGGTTCTCAATGGCCTAATTGGCCAGCTTCCGGCGGAGTTCTTCCCAATTTTCACTTTCTGAAGGTAGCAAACCCTCCAGAATCGCCTTCCGGATCATCTGACACGTTTGAGAGGTTATAGCCCTATTTTATCGCGGAAGGTGCCTCCAACTGGAATTCACACCAAGAGCCCCTTAGAATTCTGTAATGGTAAAGAAGGCACAGCTTTCCCTCTCTCCTATCTATCCATACCACCGATGACGTCAATTTTATGTTACCGCGATAGCAGGACA